TTGGAGAAGTTTCCTGAGAATACTGTGGATAGGCATGAAATCAAACCAATGGGTCATTGAACAAATCAACCCAGAGTTCTTACTTGAGGCATAAATGACTAGTCTTCAATTATCCTACTTTGGACACATTATGCAAAGACCCAACTCTCTGCAAAAGGCTCTAATGCTGGGAAAGGTGGCAGGAAAGAGAAGAAAAGGACAACAAACAGCAAGATGGATGAATTGGTTACAGTGATAGGTGCATAACTGGGAGACCTGAAAGACCAGGTTAGGGATAGATTGTCTTGGAGAAAATCGATGTGGTTGTTAGAAGTAAAAAATTGTACACAATCAAATAAGATATATTAGTATATTAATTTTTATATTAGTATGAAAAAAGAGTAAGAATGGAGGAAGGATTGTATATTAGCCCCAGTTCAGTCAAGATATAGCAACTGTAATGGGGAGGGGGGGGTGATGGGATACCAGTGTCTATGAAAAAAAATAACATGTCTCATGACCATAGAATTTACATTTTGAAATCTTACATTGTTCTAACATTTCAAGCCATTTCCTGCTTGACTATAAAAAATAATCTTTCAGATTTTCTTGTGTGTGACTATTAATACATGAGACAACTCACCACAGCCAACTCGCTGTGGCCAAGTCACTTGCCACAGGATAATTTAATAATTCAATTTAATTATTTAAAATAAATAAATAAATATTTTAATTTTTGTCATTCACATTTCAATCTGTCCCCTTTTTTGCATACTTTCATTAATTATTCTATTCCATCATTTCTTTGATGTTAGTGTAATTGTTATCCCACAGCGAGTTGTCCCACAGCAAGTTGGCCATGGCAAGTTGTCACACGGCAAGTTGGCCACAGGAAGCTGGCCGTGGTGAACTGGCCATGGCAAGTTGGTCACAGCAAATTGTCATAGATAGTCCTCGACTTATGACCATAATTGAGCCCAAAATTTCTGCTGCTGTGACATTTGTTAAGTGAATTTTGCCCTATTTCATGACCTTTCTTGCCACATTTGTTAAGTGTATCACTCCAGTTGTTAATTTAATAATAGTGTTGTTAAATGAGTCTGGCTTCCCCACTGACTTTGCTTGTCAGAAGGTCACAAAAAATGATCACATGATCCCGGGACACTACAATTATCATAAATATGAGCCAGTTGCCAAACATCTGAATTTTGATCACATGACCATGGGAATGCCGCAGTAGTCATAAGTGTGAAAAACAGTGCCGTTGTAACTTCAAACAATCACTAAATGAACTGTTGTAAGTTGAGAACTACCTATACAAAAGCTTAGGACAACTATTATTTACTCTTCTGGGGAAAAAATACACATCATGGTCATTGCTGACAAATAGCACTGTGGCAAAAGTATTTAAATACGTTGGTAAAATTAAACAGTGAATGAAACCAATAAATAACCAGATATTTTTTAACTAAACATCTAGCAGATTTCCCATTTTTATGAGCATAACAAAATGTTAATAAGGTTTTATGAAAGCCATTTATTCTCTTATTCTCTCTTGCACTAAGTCTGAGTTACCCTTTAAGAAACATTAAACATTTCCAAAGGTGAGCCTTCAGTTGTACTGTAATATGATGTGGTGTGGTGTGGTAGGCGCTATTTTGGATTCCTGCTAAAATGACATTGAGGGAAATGATCACATATTTTACCACACACAAATATGTAGCTTTGGATCAACAAATCATCAAATCAGATCTTTATTATGGCATGTTATGGTATCACTTGCCTCCCTCTCTAGATGCTCACGCCAAGACTTAACTGTTTCTGATGAACTTGATAAACTGACCCATATAAACCATCTGGGACAGCATTTCACATGCTGCAGTTTCATCTTATGCAATTTAAACATACAGTACACCGATTTAATTCAGTTTGGATTGCTCTGGACTTTAAATTTTTGAAAGATCTTGTCTTTCAATATTTTTTTCTAATTTTAATCCTTTCTTATGTCTGTTATGTAAGCACACTATTCCCATAGACTGGCTGCAGGAGACTTGGGGTTAAATTTAGGCTTCTGTTTTAAGGATGAAATTCAAACTTTTAATTATCGATTCTGCCATAGAAAGTCTGTGTAAAATGTAATGGAGGATTGATGAAATTAAGTAAGAACATGTTTTAATCAGAAATTGGCTCAAGAAGCTTATATACAACATATTGAAGGCATCCATCATGTGCTGTTGAATTTTATTAAAGGTTTTTAGCCATGAGTAGTGAAACAAGTATTTGTTTTGGGAGGATTTTTTTTAAAAAAAAGGAGAGGAAAAAGAATATTAAAAAAGAAAAAAAAGTTGCTGAAAAGTTTCTAGTTCTGTTTTCCCAAACCTCATCTAGCATTTAGAATCCCCACTATCTCTTCCATCCTTGGATTCATTTCAATTCCACAATTACACTGATTATTGACTATTCATTTCCTATTATTATATATCATTCTATTCATTGTTTTTCCAAATCACTATTTATAACATACCTTCCTGTTATGGCAAGTATTTAAATCAGCTGAAAAATATTGAAATTAAAAGCATAATATAAAGTTAGAAATGCAATTAAGCTTTGGTCTGTGACCATAATAAAAATTGATTGGAGAGAGTGGCAATTGGCAAAAATATTTAAATTCTAACTATTAAAAATCTGGCAAAAAGTCTTTACAAATTTCCTGACTGTATTGAGATTGGGGACTGTATTTGCTGCCAAAGGAGTTGAATTCTTTCTTCCATATATTAAATAGATGGACTTGTGATACAAGGGAAATCTTTGAACAGTTTGCTTCTGCAGATTTTAACACTGTACAGCTTTCAGTTGGGAGAGGCAGTCAATTACTTATTGAGGACCCAAGGTTGTATGTCAAGGTATTTGCTAGGAAATAGAAACAAAAGCAAGCAGCAACTTGGCACTTTGTACCTAGTGTCAAAGAAAAGGAGAAAACTAACTGAAACCTTGCCGATTTCAGTCCTATACCAATTTGTTCCCTATTGCTGTGACTGGGCTACTGCATATCCTGGAACAGTTCCCAAAAAATAGAGGAGGTTGACATAACACAATTCTAGCAGTGTTCTTTCCTTTCCTACCACTGAACAACAAACCATAGTTATAGTTATACCTACATAAAAAAATAGATGCCAAAAGACCAATATGCTATATTTGAGGCTTTAGCTTTTTAATACTAAAACAAGGAAGGTTGTCTTTGCAGTTGGATATGTTCCCTACCAAATTTCTTATCAGAAATAACTATTTCAAGAACTGCAGCAATTTAAGAAAGAGGCATCAATTGAATTTTGTCCCGTTTTGTGTTTTGCACTCTTCCATTTATTAGCTGGAAAAAGCACTGACGTCTCAAGGTGCTGTCGGTTAATTTAACACTATGTTTTTCAAATTTGGTAAATTTAAGAAATGTGGACTTTAACTCCCAGAAGTCCCCAACAAGCATGGGGAATTCTAGCAGAAGGAAATTGTGTTTAATTCAAAATGAATGCATGAAGCATTATGGCACCAAAACTCCATTTTGTTCTTATAGCCTTGATTTAAGGAGTTTAAAATGTGAAGTAGAATGTGCTCATAGCAATATGAAAAACTCTGTGTTTACCATGTACTCTGTAACTAAAAAGATTGCTTTGCTCTGATGGAAATACTCTGTAATTTCTGATTTAAAAACTTGAATTAAAGATATATTCATTCTCTATATATGAAGAATATTAAATTGACATACTGGGAAGTATGATAAAGATTTAATTTTGTGTTTAAGAAATGAGCTTTAACTCTTTTGTGTGTCTTTTTGCAATCTTTTTCCCCCTCCTGGTTTATTTTGTGTGTGTGTTCCCCCCCCCCATGTTTCCATTTTAAAACAATAAAAATTGCATTATCAGGGCTAGCAAATCAGTTTCTGTGTGCTCTTTTCTATTTCCATTTTAGTCTATAATATCAAAAATGTTAAGTATGTTGTATATGATCATGATTATCACTATTACTTGTATGTACATTGAGAGCTTATGCACCAGAAACAAATTCCTTGCGTGTCCAACCACACTTGGCCAATAAATTCTATTCCTATTCTGTTCTGTTCCTTTCTAGTCTATTCATTAGTAGTGGGTGAAATAAGACACAAGAGGAATGTTAGCTTGGGCTTCAAAACTGAAGTAATAGTGTTGGTAGAAATTCTAGCCCACTGAATAACACCAAACAGCAAGTTGAAATCAGATCAGAGATTTATTGGCTACAACGGTTTGCAAAGCATGGTGGACTCCAAATAATTATATGAGCCACACCTAGTCACAGCAAAAACACACACATTATATACATTCTATCCCGACGCCTTGGCCCCTCCTGAGGTTACAATCTTATCAGAGCCACCTAAACAAAATACATTATCCCTGCCCCCTTACTATTTTGCTTCACCTATTCCCTTATATGTACTTTATCATGAAATCCTACAGCTCAGTGTGGAAATCCTATAGCCTACGTGCAGAACTCTTACAAGGTACGTGTACATGTAGAAATTGCATAGAAATCTTGCAGTCTACGTGTAGATATTTTGTGTAGAAATCTTACAGAGTACATGTCACTTAACTTTACTTTTTATTCTAAAATTTTATTCCTAACAATAGGCATGAAAGAGAACAATTGTAATCCCATTAATTTCAGGTTCTAAGCTTAATTAGCTGCCCTACAGAATTAAGAAACTTCTGTAATACCACATATTTTCCATTCTTTTACTAAGATACTATAGACTCTATTGTTCCTTAGACTTTTGTGGCTGTGAAGCAGACCACCAGGAAGGAATGAAAAGAAGTCAGCTGTTTTGCACTTTATGTAGTTTTGCACTTTATGTAGAATGTCCATAACATTATATTTCTTCTAAGCATGAACAAAATATTACTCTCTAGCTCATAAGATCTATGATTACAGTCAAATTAGCTATTCCTTTGGAGGCAGTTGAATTTATAGAGAATTATATTCTGTGTCTCTTCCAGAAGTACAGCTTCTACTTGACAGGAATGTGGAAGGCAGACTGCAAAGAAGCTGCTAAATGTACATATTCAGCACTTGAAGAAATTCTCAGGGAATCTCAAATCCCAACTGCTTCCAAGAAAGCCAAGGGACTAGGGATCTGCCAGCCTCTTCCTGTTCCTCAGAGCAATTGGTGTCAAGGTATGCCCTCTGCTGCGATGGATTACTGGTGAGTGTCATTTGCAACAGTGCAATGTAGATGAAATGCTTGCCTTGCAAGGGAGAGAGGAGTGCTGGGGTTCTGAATCACATATTTTGTACATGGATTTCAGTTGAATAGTAGTCTCCTTGACTGCACGCATTTTCCCTGATTCATCTCCATGCATTTTCCCCACTTCTGGTGCCATCTGCCCAACTGGACAAACTTCCTCCTCTGCCCCAACACATAAAGCTTTTTGCTTGTGTATCCACAAAATCAGAAAGTTTCATCAGAAACGTACGTGCATGCAATGCGCAATGTACTTACAAAAGGGGCAGCACTTGCATCGCAATGTCACAATGCTCATTTTATCATTTTCCTCCCTTGCCCTCTCTTCATGTCCATGTTTTCAAAATTGAGAAAACACTGCATAACCCGGATTCCTTCAGGCGAATCCCTGAACCATTATAGTGCACTGTCTCAGTTTTTTCAAAACAGCAGTGGTGTGGTGGATAATAACATGTTACTGCTATTATGCCATAAGTTCAAATCAAGTCACTGATTTTGTGAGGGAAATGGGAATGTATGTTCAGAGTAGGATGTGGAATAAATTACTTTAGTTGAATAGTGACCATTACCTTTGACATCCAATTATTTTTGACATGTTTTGATCCACCGACCCAAAATATCTCAGTCCCAGGCATTAATACTATGAAACAAAGTGTACATGCACAGATTGGTAGAAAAACATTAATGTGTACTACACGAAATAGTGGGATTTTTCTTCCTTTCTTGTTTTTCCTACCTTCAATTGCTTTTGCATGATTTCTCCCTGCCATTTCTTTTCTGATCTTCAAGCAAGGTTGGAAAAGATCATTTGAGACAATGATTGTTGCTCATAAGACAAGGATATTCATTTGCTCATTACTCCTGCATTACTTTTAAGCTATGTAGTATACATGCATACTAAAGCTAGAAGTTTTAACCTATGGCTTGTGTATAGATCAAGCTAAGCCAAAATAATTCAACCACATTTTTGCTTTAGTCTTATATATGTACTATGGAAAAGCTGAATGCCACTTCAGCATCGTTAGAATTCTAAACATAATTTAAAATTATGTTTCTTACTTTATTTTACTTTTTTACAACATAGTATTTTTTACTATTTTAATTAATTTAATTCAAAAGAAAAAAATAGCATGTTAAATCAAAGTAAAATCAAGTGCTTTGAAAACCAGAGCCATACCTGCAAATCCTGTGTTAGAATCTATTGGCCCAACCGAATGAAAACTCTGTTTCATTTTGTATATTTTGTAGTTATCTCACTTTTAAAAACCATACTTTGCTCTGGAAGGTAGGGAAATGCCCAATCAGTGGAAGTTCTCTGCAGCATGCTGAGGAGACGTAACCTTCTCACCACACTTCTGATTGCTTTGCCATGGGGTCTTCTCCTAACTTTGTGGCATCAATATCCAAACACCCGTTATCTCAGCCTTTTAAGAAGTAAGTATATAAATCCTGGTTTACAAAAGGTTTTGCAAGATTCTTTTAACAAATCTTTTCCAAAAAAAGTACTCCATTACAGAAAAATGAGGATATTTTTAAAATAATGTTTATATAATTCTCTGAAGTTTAAGATTTCATTGAGTCAGATGTAAGTCATAAATGATTTGTGTTGGAGATATGAATTCAGGAGCCCTTGTTGGAAAATATGCTCCTGAACACAGCCAGAGTATTGAAAGAATACTGAGTAATTAAATAGTAGAATAACCCATTTTTAAAAGATGCCCATAAGTTTGTCTAGGATTTAGAGATAGCCCAACTATAAGTAAATGTTAACAGACATTCATTGTATTTGTATAAAAAACTAGATTTATTAAGTGCATGAGAGTCAAAAAATACATGCTTTTATCTAAATTACATCTTGAAGACAGGGAAGGTTGTGATAAAGTCTGAAGCACCAAACAGAAGAAAATTCCTTATCTTTTAACAGCAGAGATTCTTGACAAACAGCATAGAATCATCCATTTCATACCCTTTTGCCCTTGTGGTAAAATGGACTCAAAGGCGCTTATTGGGTGTTTATGTTACTCTTGTTGTTGTCTGTAAATAGTCACTAGAGCTTATCTTGTTTGAATTTGTATTGGATTTTTATGAGAATATATTATAAATAGCTCAGAATCATTTGGAATTGAATAGCACCTAAATTGTATTAAACAGTCAGTTGCAAAGAGATGATGCCATTTTCAACAGTTTGCAATTACCTAATTCTTGGATGGATGGATGGATAGATGGATGGATGGATGGATGGATGGATGGATGGATAGACGGACAGCTGGATAGATAGACAGACAGATATTTTCCTGTTTCCCAGACTAGCTAACAGTTTGGAATTTCCTACCTGTCTTTGCTTTAGATACTATCTAGACCTAACTTTTCTGAGATCAGTCAAGTTCAGCTAGACATTGTTGCCTGCTCAAGTTTAATTCACTATTAATCTGTAACATATAGCTAGGGTAAAGGGTCTTTTCTTTTTGATCATGTTTATCCCAATGTTCATTGATAATTCATTGACAGTTTATACTAATCAACTTGTTTTCACTTCCTCTTAGGCTCTTTTGTTCTTTGTTTCTAGACTATTATTTACTCTCCCTTCTACAAGCAAATCCCAGTTTAAATGACTGTTCCATTTCTGAGCCATTCACACAAGCTGAGTTCCATGTAGGTCAGCTGGCTCTTTTGCACATCCACAAAGGGCTGACCATATGTAGCCTATACAGTAATATACTGTATAGGCTGCAATACAAGCTGCAATCCAGATATATTTTTAATCTCTAATTTTCCTACAGCAGAAAAATACACAGCCAACACCACAGACTAGTTTTTGGTTAGATTCTCTTCCCCTCGTTCTATCCAACATAAAGCACTGTGTGGGTGTTTTGCTTTCAAAGGTGAAAGCAAGAAGAATCTTAGGACCTAAGAAGTAGCTAAATTGGAATTATAAAGGTAGCAAGACCGCCCACAGCTGCTGGGGGGGAGGGGCAAAGAATTTATGGGTTGCATAATGGCAACAATAATATGTTATAACTCATCAGTGTTCAGAATATCTTCCTCCCCTACACACAACAGTCAATGTGACCTCAGAGCGAACGCACTGAAAGAAAATTAAGCACTCTCCTGAATATTGCTTCCATGATTCATAGTTGCAAACTGTTAAGGATATTGTTATTACAATAAATATTTGGATTTGATGCACACTATATTTTTACTTTTTGGGGTGTTCTTTTTTCCCTTGAGTTTTTCCCTTTATATTAAAGATGATCCAAGATATAAGGATAGGGAAATAGAATGCCAGTATTAAATCAGAAACAGATGATATAGAGAAGCGTTTTAATGGAAGGCTTACACTATATTATCTTTTTTCCTTTTGTCTTAGAAGAAACAGATGAAAATGGCACAGCCAAGTCACTCTTCAATGGGACATCTCTAGTGAGGGAGGATGGGTTTGCATCATGCACTCGGCAGCCAGCCATTGGGACAGCTCCCAAAATAATCCGGAACTATGTGTACTCCAGGCCTCCCCCATGGTCAGACACATTGCCTGCCATATTTGTGATCACACCTACCTACACTCGACCAGTACAGAAGGCTGAGCTGACCCGATTGGCGAATACTTTCCTTCATGTACAGAACCTACACTGGGTGGTGGTAGAAGATTCTCCTAGAAGAACCAATCTGGTGTCCAATCTACTGGAGAAAGCAGGGATCCATTTTACTCACCTGAATATTGAGACTCCTAAGAGTCTGAAAGTAGGTTTGTCCTGGATTCCATCTCACACTCCCAGGGGCACATTCCAGAGGAACCTTGGACTGCATTGGCTTAGGGAAAGTTTTAGCACCATGCCAGCACCTGAAGGTGTAGTATACTTTGCAGATGATGATAACACCTATAGCCTGGAGCTATTTGAAGAGGTATATTATTCAAGGTTGTGATTATTTCACTTTTGATCCATGATTTAGACAGATTAATAATTACATTTTCTATCCTTCATTCTTTTGATATACAATCTTTTGGTGGGTGGTTAGGGAGGTATATCAAGAAAGGATGAAGATCAGTGGAAATGCTCATGCTTTGCACATAAAAGATCACAGTTTCAATCTCTGGTACTCTGGTTGGGAAAGTTTCTCACTAAATGTAATTTGGCCCTTCCCAGTCAGGTGTCCTGTACTTGTGCTGGACTACAATTACCAGGAATTCCAGTCAATATGATATCAGATGAGTGAAGATGAAATAGGTCCATAGATGATTGGTTAACTGATAATCAGTAATTATAGCTAGAGAATGAGGGTTGCAATTATAATTGTGGTTCTGAAATATGGACAGGAGTCTTTGGAAACAAACAAAATATTTGCCTGGCATATCTAAAACTATACCTGATCCTGTTCCGGCATATCTCATATCTATGGAGGAAATGCAGACAATAGTCCCTCAGGAAAAGGTCTTCAGAAGGGTAAGATAGAAAGTAAGGCAGAAACTTTGACATGAAAAAGTAAAAGTAGAAAGAAAATAATGAACATATGGTAATATGTAACTATTGCAAGAGTACAGGTAGTTGGAAAACTCCCAAAAGGGGCCCACAGAATATTATAAAAAAAAATTAGAAGTATTCATGTATTCTTGTTTTCTTTCTGACAAGCAGATGCGCTACACAAAGAAGGTATCTGTCTGGCCAGTTGCTTTTGTTGGTGGTCTCAGGTACGAATCCCCCAAAGTGAGTCCAGCAGGCAAAGTGGTAGGTTGGAAGACTGTGTTTGATCCTAACCGGCCTTTTGCCATCGACATGGCTGGCTTTGCCATCAGCATAAAACTGATTTTGGAGAAACCACAGGCCAGTTTCAAGTTGGATGGAGTGAAAGGAGGCTACCAGGAAACTAGTTTATTAAAGGATCTGGTGACAATGGATGGACTAGAGCCTAAAGCTACCAACTGCACAAAGGTTAGCAAAGTTGGGGGAAAAAAATCACAATAATTTCCCCCACCCAGTGACCATTACTCCCATGCTTATCTTGTTAATTATAAAAATTATAATTACATTTATGTTAATTGTTTAAGTATTGTATAATTACATGCACATACTGTATCTAATGTCCAGATCTAGATATGTTAAAACATTGGAACTAAGGTCTTATATAAATGCAATTGGGCAATGAAGAAACAGATTTAGCACTTTAATCTATATGCAATTAAAATATAAAACACAAGCACAAAAACATATACCTTAATACATGGATATGAGAACAGGTGCAAAAAATTCAAATGACTTTTCTGAATATCCCAAAGGTGCTTTTTTCACAAGGCAACTGGACTTTCTTGTTAACAAGAAAGTCCAGTTGCCTTGTGAAAAAAACACCTTTGGGACAACCATGACCTAGATGACTGAGAATCTCCATAGACTTTTCTGAATGTATTGGCTACCATTTAAAGGTCATATGAGAGCCAGTTTTGTGTAGTGGTTAAGGCCAGGAGACCATCGATTCTAGTCCCACTTTAAGCACAAAGGCAGCTGGGTGATCTTGGACTAGATATTTTCCCACTCAGCCTTAGGAAGGAGGCAGTGGCAAAACCTTGCCAAGAAAACTACAGGGATTTATCCACTCTCTGAGAAAAGAAGACAATTGAATGGAAGGGGAGGGGAGGGGAGGATCATGAAGATTTTTACAGCCCACGCTTGCCCTTCTATGGAGACATTGGCAGATTTTTAAAAAAGATAGGTATACAAGTGATCAATCATCGCAATAGAAATACTGTATTCTAGATTCAGAACAAATATCTGTACATTTTTAAATTTTAAATTGGCTTTTTTTGCACATGACAGACATGTAGTTAGGAGCCAGTGTGAAGTTATATGCCCAATTTCCACACTTCTCCCTATCCCCATTTATGCCTTTCATCCTCTATCTCAATTAGCCATTCTTACCTAATTTGAAGCCCTCTGAATGTAATGCAGACATATTTTCCTCCTTGTCATTCAATGAATTTAGCATTTGTGGGAATAAATATTTTGTTGTTTTTATAGCAGCGGTTCTCAACCTGTGGGTCGCGACCCCATTTGGGGTCGAACGACCATTTCACGGGAGTCGCCAAACAACACGATCCACCACTTTTTGGTCAGCCGACGCAGGGGGCGTTGCTGCGCATGTGCGCCGCGCAGGGGGCATTGCATGGGGGGCGTCGTGCAGGGGGCGGCATCGCGCATGCATGCCACCTGCTTATGACCGGGGTCGCCGTATAAAAAGGTTGGGAACCACTGTTTTATAGGATACTGCTGTATCTATAATGACTCTAAAAATAAACCAGGTAAGTGTGTGATTATGTAAATATACACTTAAAAGGAGGCTTGCAATTTCTTTTGAGTACTATTCAGAGATTTCATATGCATAAACATATGTGTACTTATGCACTAGGCAGATTTGCTGATATCTATTATATATTGTTATATAATTTTAATAAAATGCAATTTTTCTTGATAGGTTTTGGTCTGGCACACAAGGACTGAAAGGCCAACCCTAGTTAATGAGGGCAAACGTGGATTTACAGACCTAAGGGTAGAAGTGTAGATAACTTGTTTTTTGCTGTAAGTATAAGATTTTTGCTGCCTCTCAAGATTTTTCTATAACTTGCAAGGAGTTCTTCAAACAACTTCAATGTAGGATTCATTTAATATGCACCAATATGCATCTTTGTCTTTGATAAGTGTATGAATGGTTTACTGTCTCATATCAGTCCTGGTCTGCCTGTAGTACTATATGAAATGCTATCAAAATGTATTTTTGAATCCCACTCTTAAAGTCAGAATTCGGGCCCAGGCATGGAGTTCCTTGATTAGGATATTGTTTTATCTCTGATTGTCTGCATGGTGCTAATCCCTGCTTATCTTGGTCTTGGCTTTTCTAGCTTTTCTGTTTCCTTCATAGCTTTTTTATTGCCTCTTTTCAATATTGTATAATTAAGGCTTGTTTCTATGTGTCTATTGATTTGTCTGAATGTCAAGCTTCCAGGAATTCCCTAGCAGTTTTGAACCTATCTTGATCTAAGAGTTACCAAGAGTCATCAAACTGCAGCAGATACAAATGCAATAAACAAGTAGGCAGCTGTTATCAATCATTTGTATTTCTTAAAATAATTTAGGGGAGTTATGTGGAGACTGGGGGATATTTAGAAAATAAAAATGATGATGAAACCCATACCTTACTTTGCTTCATGCATGTTCACATTTTTAATAGCTATTAATGAAATATGTTTTAAAATTGCATAATCTGGGGCATGGAGCCTTCTAGGCATACAAGAGGACCACATTTGGAGATCTAGTGTTTCTCCCATCATCAAGTTGTCTACAACATACATTAGGATACATTGAAGAGTACCAAAATATCCTGAAGTATATTATTAATCTTGTTCCTCAGTTCACAGCTTGTTGCTATATGCTTTTCTTCAATTATTTTAAAAATAGCTCTCCGATTTAAAAAATTGAATGTCCTTTTTTTCCCCCTTCCTAGTGTTTTTCCTACAAGTGCAGAGTCAATTTGCGTTGATCCAATGGTTGCAACATGAACTGGCTGGCTTGTTGCCTGAGCCTGGCATCATGGGCTGAGAGAGAGAGAGAGAGAGTTTGGCCCAAAGTCATCCAGCTGGCTTTCATGCCTAAGACAGTAGTACTAAAACTCACAGTTTCCTGGTTTCTAGCCATTACCCTAAAATGTTAAGTACAAGGGCTAGCTAATGTAGAGTCAGGATAGTTTCCCATCATAGATCATCCTTGGTTAATCTAGTTCAAAGTATGTGCTATCCAGTTTTTCTTGTAACTGTTTATATTCCCTAACACAAAGAATCAGTGTAGGAACCCCAAAGTCAAAAAGGGCATTGTTTGATTTCATTTAATAGTTAAACTTAAACTATTTCATTAAATAGCTAAACCAAGAATTTTAAACCACTAACCTCTAACAGTACAACACAAAGGGTGTTTTGTTTTCCAGAATATGAGATTTATTTTTATTTTCTTAAAAAAAATAATTAAAAGAGGATTTGTGAAAAAAATCTGTCTTTCAGTCTTTGAAAACTGAACTGATAAAGTTCTGTTAATCTATATTGTTGCGTCCTTGGCGGGAAAGCAGACACGAGAAGCAGCTGGAGTTCTCAGTTTCTTTTATTCAGCGTTCAGCTTACAGGAAGATGGCTTCAGCCTCGCCCAAACGCCTCGCAGCCTCTTATATAGGCAACTCCCGGGTAAATGGGTTACTTTTCCCGCGCCAGCACCCGCGCATGCGCACGGCGCTGGCGACAGCCTGTCTGGTCCCGGGCAGCTTTGCACCTGCCCGGGACTGCCTGCAAACGCCCGAGCCGTTTGCAAAGGCTCGGGACATAACACCCCTTTCCCCCGGGCTAAAACTACTACCAACATACAACATTTATTTTATATGACATTTTGCTCCCCAATGTTCCCACTGTTTACTGGCTTTTGCTTTGCCAGCAATGTTATGTAGTCTTCTAGGTACTTGGGAGATTTCTTTGCTCTCTGTGACCTTCTTAGCTCTGGATTACTGGCATAAGTCCCCTGACTGGAGGGAGGCGTGAGCCTTTTCTCTCTATTGTGCCCTGGTGTCTTCCAAGGACTGTGCCCCAATGCCTGGCCTGCTCGCTTGCCCACCGGGCTCGTCAGGCCAGGGCTTCTGTTGCTTTGTGACCTGGTTGACCTGCCTAGCTGTAGACCCTCGGCCCCTTGAAGTGATAGCCGCTGCTGGGCGTCTCTGTAGGACCTCCTAGGTCAGTCCAAGACCTGTCAGGAGGCTGTCCATTCCCTGAACCCCATTCTGTGTTCGGGCTCGTGTGGGTTTCTGTACTTTCCCAAAACTCAGGTGTTCCCTGATTTGTGCTAGGGTTGTTGTAGTCGGGACTTGGTTCCTCGACTAGCTCTGTGTATGTTTGACCCCCTGTAGGATTTGGGGTAAGGTCAGGCCAACCTTGGGATTGTGTGCCAGCTCTCTTGCGGGGAATGATTTGTTGGGATGCCCCCGGGTATCCTCCGTGACTGGAGTGCTGTGTGACGTGTGTGGAAAGTGAGTATGCCCCCGGGTGACTCCCTGGCTGGAGTAGGCGTGAGTGCCTGTTGTGTGGGTAAGCTCCATGACTTCCTTTTCGGAGCAATTGCGGAATCTTGGGACGAGCCGTTTGTGGCTCCCCCCCTGGAAAAGACCCAGGAGTCTCAGCAGAAAAGTCTCGCCTAGAGCGAAGTTGGTCGATGTGCCGACGCAGGACACGACCGTTGTCCAGGGCAACCTCGTAGGAGAGAGGACCTGTGATCCTGGACACAGAAGCGGGGACCCATGTATGACCAGGCCCGTAATTGCGAGCCCAAACCGGGGCACCCACAAGTAGTTGTCTAGGTGCCCTAGGATGTGAGGTAGATGAAGGCAGTCTGTCCGGATGCAACCGGTCAAGTCTAGTAGTAAGTTGGCGCCCCCAACGAAGTTCAGCTGGACTTCTCCCTGTAGAAGTGGACGGTGTGGTGCGATAAGAAAGGAGAAAGTCAGCCAACCTGTGATGCCAGTCCCCGTAGGTGAGTCTCTTCAAGGCGTCCTTTGCGATGCGCACCATGCGTTCAGCCATACCGTTGGTGGACGGGTGAAAAGGCGCAGACGTGGCATGACGAATCAGGTTTGCCTGTAAGAAAGCTTGGAATTCGGAGGAGGTGAATTGAGGGCCGTTGTCGGACACAATGACATCTGGCAGCCCGTGTGCAGCAAAAATCCCCCTCAGTACCTGAATAGTCTTTGCAGTGGTGGTGGATGAGACAGGCACAACCTCAAGCCATTTTGAATGGCTGTCAACAAGGACAAGAAGAACTGGCCCTGAAAGGGCCCAGCGTAGTCAATGTGCACCCTAGACCATGGGGACTGTGTTTCCTCCCATCTAGCACAGGAGCTTGGGGCATCTCTGGGCGAGATCGTTGGCACAGGTGGCATGCGTGTACCTTAGCCTCAATATCTTTATCTAAAGCAGGCCACCACAAGTGGCTGCGTGCAAGAGCCTTCATACGAACAATGCCAGGATGACCCTCGTGGAGGGATTCTAAGACCCTAGTCCTCATTGAGGTGGGAATGACAACTCTGTTTCCCCAAAGCAGACAACCCTGAGAAAGGGACAGTTCGTTTCTTTTGGACCAGAAACTCTGAAACTCAGGACTAGGGCAGTGCTCAGGCCACCCGGACAGGACCCAGGAGCGGACACGTGAAAGTGTGTGATCTGTACCCGTTTCAGCGGTAACATCCCTGGCACTAAGAGGGAGCTCGGGCAAGGCTTGGATTGATAGAATGTTGACAGCTGGCGCGGGGTCAGCTTCTACTACTGGCAGAGGCAACCTACTGAGGCCATCAGCATGGCCCATTTCTTTCCCAGGCTTGTGGAGTAATGAAAAATCATATGCAGACAAGAAAATAGACCACCTAAGCATTCTAGGGGAAATGATGTGGGGAGTCTGCTTACGTGTGGTAAACAGTCCCAGCAGAGGCTTATGGTCAGTGAAGACCGTGAAATGCCTGCCATATAGAAAATCGTGGAATTTTTTAATTCCAGCAACAACAGCCAGAGCCTCCCTGTCTATCTGAGCGTAGTTGCGCTCGGCAGAAGACAGTGTTCTGGAGTAGTATGCAATAGGAACCTGAGTTCCATCAGACCTGAGGTGACTCAGGACAGCTCCAACCCCGTAGGGGGATGCATCACAAGCGATGCACACAGGAAGAGACTCGTTGAAATGTGCAAGAACACTGTTAGAAGTGAGCAAGGCCTTGACTTCTTTAAAGCAAGCCTCATGTGCTTGTGACCACAGCCACACAGCTTGTTTGTCTAGTAGCCTGTGAAGAGGCTCAGCTACACTAGCTTTATGTGGAAGAAAAGAATTGTAGAAATTCAGGAGGCCTAGGAAGGCCTGAAGTTCGGCCTTAGACTTTGGCCTGGGTGCTTGTAAAATAGCAGTTAGTTTGGATTCAGCAGGATGAATCCCAGCAGCATCAATTTTGAAGCCCAGAAATTCAGTAGAAGGCACCCCGATCTTGCATTTGTCTTTTCTGAGCTTGAGGCCTGATTCCCTGAATCTTAACAGGACAGCCCTAAGTCTTTCAGCTATAATGTGTGTGGAGTCTCCTGCAATCAAGACATCGTCAAAGTAGGGGCAGACCCCTGGTATACCTCGTAGTGTGTTTTCCATTACGCTTTGGAAAATCCCAGGAGCGACATTTACTCCAAACTGTAGCCTTTTTACTTTAAAGGCTCCCCTGGGGGTCACAATGGTCTGAGCTATGGCAGCATCATCATCAACAGGCAGCTGTTGATATGCTTGAGCTAGGTCAAGCTTTGCAAAAACACGCCCCCCTCTTGAGAGAGGCCAGGATGTGACTGACCACAGGACCAGGATAGGCATGTTGCTGCAATGCCTTATTGAGTGTGCATTTGTAATCAGCACAAATGCGAATTTCCCCATTTGCCTTTAGAGGCGTGACAATGGGGGTCTCCCATGGGCTGGAATCAACAGGTTCTAGGATTCCTTGTTGGATTAGTTTGTCTAATTCAGTGTCAATCTTACTTTTTAAAGCAAAAGGGACCCTTCTTGCTTTAATCCTAATGGGAGTGACAGTGGGGTCTAGCTTTAAGGACACAGGTGGTCCTTTGAATGTGCCCAGCTGGGGGCTGAAAACATCTGCAAATTCTTTGCAGACTTCCTGTAGGTCGAGTGTTTGTAAGCTGTTGAGTCCTGTGACGTGTATCCCCAGGGCCTCAAACCAATCGAGTCCTATGATACTCGTTCGTTCACCCCCTACTACTAATAAGTCTAGTGGACCTTCAAAACTCTTGTAGTGCACGTTAAGGGTGGCCTCCCCCTTAACACACACTCTTGAATTTTGAAAATCTGTTAACACAATGTCAGAAGGCCTTAACTTGGTCTGAGTTCCACTACCGGAACAAATCTTCCTAAATGTATGCAAGGAGATAATTGAAAAGGCAGACCCTGTGTCTAGTTCCATAGATAATGGAACCCCTTGTAGCTTCACCTGACAGCTTTTTCTTAATTGGCTTGTGTGTGCCCGTCCTAAGGATGCTTCTTCGCGAAGCGCAAAACCCTACCCTATTCTGGCTGGGGAATCTGGTACCTTTCAGGCGCGGTTCTTCCTGAGGTTGTACCTTTTGTTGGCCCAGACACACAGCTGCAATGTGTCCTTGTTTGCCGCATGCCCGGCAGGTAGCGGAGCGGAACTTGCAGTCGGTTCTCCTGTGGCGACCTCCACAGCCGATGCACTTGAGCAGAGCTGAAGAGCTTCCCTTCTGTTTTTCTTCCGTCGTGGGGTGGAGACGGTCGACTTCCTCATCCGGATTCTCCTCGGAGTTCCTTTGGGCGTCTTCCTGGTGCACGGATGCAACCTCTGGACTGTTTCTGATCGGCCGCATGTTCTTGATAGCGCCGCCTGCTGCTTCGTCTGCGGTGACTTCCCTTAAGGCATCTTGGTAGGACAGTTCTTCTTTAGCGAAAAGTCTCTGTTGTAGATCTCGATGCCTTAACCCGCACACGAATCGGTCCCTCAGTCGTTCTTCGAGGTCTTTGAACTTGCAGTGCTTGGCGGCCTTCCGTAATGCGGCGATGAATTCTTTGGCCGACTCGCCGGGCCGTTGATCCCTTTGCTCGAAGGTGTGGCGCCATGCGATGACGGACATCTTGGGGTGGAAGTGCTCTTTCAGTAGCTTCTTTAGATCTGCGTAGCTGACAGACTCTACTGGAACAGGTGCTGCAAGGTTTTCTGCGATGTCGAAGGCGTCTTGACCGCAAACACAAAGCAGGGTG